AAAAAAAAAAGAAAATTGTAAAAAATACTTAAGGTCTGCAACAAACAGAAACTACTCAATTGTATAATATGACTTTAAAACTCATCAAACATCTAAAACTAAGGCTAAAGCTGAGCTTGAAGACATTCATAGGAACGAATTCATTTTATGATCTAAGTGTAGAAGTAGCCCTATGTGAGTCAGATTGGTCAAAAAAGACAATTAAAAGAGAAATAACATTTACTTTCAGAAAACTTTCCCCAATAACTAAGATTTCTTATGTAAGGTCAAGGCTAGAGGCTATGATCACGAATCACATAACCTTGCAAAAAACACACTGCAAAGAACCAGGGGCCACCAAAATCCTTTTTAATTGGGGGCTTTATTCCATATGCCTACGGATAATTTATAATTATTTCCCTTTCTGACTTTTAAACTTTCAATTTCACTACTATTTCAATAAAGAGCGGAAATGCTTAGAGACAATCTTCCAAACAAACAGAATGACCCTGGTTTATATAATCAACATTTATCATCTGGCATCCTGAAAAAAGTACATAAAACATGAGTCTGAATATGAAACTAGTTATTTCCAGGAGTTCGTTTTATATGTTTTATTCCTGTTGGTATGGCACATGAGATTTCCCTGAAATGGTATTTGATTCCTAATGGATATCTAAGTTTGAATTTGAGTGCTTAAACAAGCCCATAGAATTCCAAAAATACAAATCCACACAGTGCTGTTTCCAGTTTCTGCAACTCTAACAAGCATGTACATGTGTTCCCTCCCATCTGGGAAATTAGAAAAGAAGCTCCTGTACCATGGTTCTGAGAAGCTAACATTACGGATGATTACTGTAACCACTAATGGCAGCATTTGGAAAACAGGGGGTGGTTACAGCAAAGTAGGGGACATTTAAAAATGTACAAGTATACATTTTCAGGGCTCTCTATCTGCACCATCTGAAACTGCAAAAGGCTTAAAATGGGAGGAAAGATACCGAATTTGATAAAGCTAAAGAAGAATATTGTCTCCCACCTTTATAAAAGTCTGCCTGGCACTGACACACATACAGTGAAGCAATAATGGCCATGATACTCTGGTGAGATGTAACAGTGGGTCTGGCTCAGCACC